TCTTTATTTCTATGTTGTTCATCTATTGAAGTGGATTTTATACTCTTTAAAGTGTGAAGTTAATATATATATTCAAATTGTATGTATATAATCTGCTTGTAGACTTGCATACCATTAGAAGAATTACCATATCACAAGAACTGGATAAGTTATATAGTTACCAGGTTTGGGTCAGGGGTTAACCTAGGTGGAAATTGAGGTCAGGGGTTAACCTAGGTGGAATTTGTGTGATAAATGTAGAACTAAGACAAAAACAGATGACAGAGGTGGAATTTGGAGTCAAGGGTTAAACTAGGAGGGATCTTGTGTGACATATGTACAACAAAGGAAAAAACAGACTATTTAAACGGGCCAGAACCTGAGTGAGACAGAATTTTTCAGACAGAGATGCTACTGGGGGTCTCCTGAAAGTTCTCCTTTGTTGTCGACAATAAAGTATATTCTTCTGATATTCATAACCTACAGACTGAGTTTGATTTAGTAAGAGAAAAACCAAGAAAACCACTACACTATCTAAAATGTTTGACATTTGAATGTTTCTGATTTATTTTTATTATCAATGTTATAATCATTATTATTATCGTGACTATGCATTTGTCTTTATTACCAGTAATAAATTACAGGATAAGACAGGTGAGGAAACGCTAAACCACTGTGGCCAATATAAAAATCATCTACGCTAATGCAGTGCTGATCATAAAGTCGGTGAACGTTCTATGATTTAATACCATCTACATTGCAGAGTGTCGATATGAACTGAGACATAAATATTCTTATTCCTGTAACTACAACCACAAGGGTTATATTCAAAATGCAAAGCATCTCACTTTTTACAAGCATGACGTCACTGAACACACATGTAAACCGGGTTTAGGTTAATGCTCTGTCTGATGTCTAATGCGTTTGTCTAGTGATATTATCTTCTCCATCCCGACTCTGTCAAATCATATTTACACGAAATGAATTATTTAAGAATCCATTATCTCTGCTGTGTGCAGGGCTGAGTGCGATGGCGAGCAGGTGCTGCCCCGAGAGCGATTGAATGTGAAACTCAAGACTCGTCCCATCAGTGTCGATGCGGAGGGTGAAGTCGGGCTGAGCAGGCAGTTAAAGTGATTTGGCTTCTTCGAGGAGACGGAGGAGGAAGTGTGATGGAATGAGCCGCCATTAGCATCACTTTTAAAGGTTACAGTATGAGCGGCGTCTCTAAAGCCTGAGATCAGATATATCTCAATGACAGGCTGAAGGACATCTAAATCAACTGATCAGAGGTCTGGATTGCAAGTAAGAGACATTTTTGCTCATTCAGAAAACTGGATTTAAGGCAAGACACTGCACAGTACTCCTTTGGTTGATTAATTTAGAATTGAGCAATTCCATAGAAAACTCAACCAAAATAGCAAAAACGTTTTTTTTTTTTTTTTTTTTTTTTTTTTTTGTCTAGGCTTGCATTTTACAGTACTTCAAAAATACTCAAAAATGTCTCTGTCAGTGTTTTCAAACAATTATATTTGATTTACTAAAGTCACACAATAAATACTAGTACTTATTTATTATATACCAGTACTTATTCATTAGGTACTAATATCTATTTAATATTTACTAGTTCTTATAAATCCTTTGATGCACAAGCTATAAAATAGATATAGAAAAAATAAGCTTAGACTGGTCACTTTAGACCCATGTAGTGCATCAAAGGGTTAAATACATACTGGAACCAATTTATTAGATACTAGTATTTTTTTATTAGACACTAGTGTTTTTTATAACTGCTACTAGTAACAATTCTTATTTTACCCGTCAGTTCTGCATTTTACTTGTCTTATGTTATGACTAGTCCAAATGGAAGAGTAGAGTTTAATTAAACATTTAACATTTCAAACAAGTACTAGTATTAAATAAATGTGTACTAGTAAATTGAATAAGTAATAGTATCTATTGAATAAGTACTAGTATGTAATTAATAAGCACTATATATATATATTAACTAGATAATAGTATTTAATGAATAAGTACTAGTAATGAATAAGTATTAGTATTCATAAGTACTAGTATCTATTAATTAGGTACTAGTATGTAAAAAATATGTACTAGAATCTAATGATTCACTAATAGTACATACGATTTCCTAGGCCCAGCTAGAATACATACCATACTAGTCAAAACTGAATAGTTGATATCTCAATGACATATCCCATAAAAATCAATGAAACAATTTAAATGTATTACTAGTAACAACAGAATAGGTACTAGTCACTATTAAAATAAGTACTATCTATAGTATCTAATAAATAAGAGCTGGTATATATTTAATAAGAATTTGTATCTAATGAGTAAGTACTTGTATCTAATGCATACTAGTATTTGTTTAATAGGTACTAGTATTTAATGAATGAGAACTAGTCACCGCCACCGTCATATCCAGCATATGTTTTAGGCAGCGGATGCCCTTCCAGCTGCAACCCATCACAGGGAAACATTCTTGCACTCTCATTCACACACATACACTATGGACAATTTTAGCTTACCCAATTTACCTGTACCGCATGTCTTTGGACTTGTAGGGGAAACCGGAGCATCCAGAAGAAACCCACGTGAACACGGAGAACATGCAAACTCCACACAGAAATGCCAACTGACCTAGCCGAGGCTTGAACTAGAGACCTTCTTGCTGTAAGGCGACAGCACTACCAACTGCGCCACTACATTGCCCATGAGTACTAGTATCTAATAAAAAGAACTGGTGTCTAATGAGTAAGCACTAGTATCTGAAGAATAGGCACTAATGAATAACCAATGTATTTAAAGAATAGGCACTAATGAATACTATAGATACTAGTGCTTATTCTTTAGATACTAGTGCTTATTCAATATAATGAAAAAACACTAGTATCTAATGAATAAGCACTAGTATCTAATGAATAAGCACTAGTGTCTAATGAATAAGCATTAGTATCTAATGAATAGTACTTAATGGAAAAGATACTAGTATCTAAAAAATAAACACTAGTAACATAAAAATAGATACTAGTACAGGTTATAGATTAAATGTCAAAACGGCATGCCATAGTCACATCCATAATGAAGCTTTTTCCTCATAAATGTAGAACAAAATAAAATCAATGATTGTTGTTTCATAGTGAGCCAAATCCTTTTGATTAGCATTATTATTTGGGTTGTGCAGTTTAATTCACAGAATCTCTACAAAGTACATGTATGTTGTGTACTGCAAACCTGCGTACCTTTTTGGTCACATCTATAAGGCATCCTTATTTTCCTCATTTAAAATGTAATATACGCCTACAGATTGATATTTTTATGAGCCCATAACTGTGGTTTGTAGTTTTGGAAAATATGAAGAGATGTTTCAATATAATGTTAAACTATCCTCTATTTTTGTTTAAGTTTTACTGCAAATATCAAATCCGTAACACTGGAATTGCTCAATTACAAACTTTTTTTTTTATTACAAGTTTTCCTCAATGTTTAAATGTGCAAATGAGGCAGTGTATAATTAAATACATGATTAACAATTTCGTGTCAAATCTACAGTAACTTACTATAAATCAATTACAGCAAAAATACTGTATTTACATTTACAGCACCATTTACCTTGCTGTATGTGTATTTACAGTATTGCTTATCTATTATTATCATCATAGTGCAACTAAAATACAGTAACATACTGCATAACTGTACTACGGTAAAACACAGTTCTTATAACAGTTAAATACTGTGTGATTTACCAGAGTATGGATTCATTTGCATGTATTTTTAGCACGTCTTTTTTTTACACAGAGTCAAACACATTACATTTAGGGTATTTTGGGAATCTCAGAATGTACAACAAATAGGTTTTTCCCCCCACATAACATATTCTTCTACCAAACCTACAGAATATAGATGAATCAAATTGTAAAGTTTGGTTTAGTGCTATTAAATATGAATTTTAAGACAGTGAAGGAACACGTTACTCATTTTGAGAAAATGGACTATTTGAAATCTACAGAGACTAAAAGAAACACATAAAAGAGTTGATGTTTTTGATGTTTTCTTTACATTAGACTAAAAGAGGAAAAGCCATCCCAAAATGTCAACAGGTGAATAAAAGTGTTGGGCCTGTAGCACCTTGCCTTAAAATGATGCACACTCTCTTGAGATGAAGAAATTAATAGATAAATAAATTAATTAATTATTAATAGCTGTTTAATTTTACATGAAGCTCATTGGGGCCACCATGTTGACATTACGTGACCAGCCAAATAGTATTTGCTTTGTCTTGGTGACCCCATTATTGTACATATGGACACACAGAATAAAATATTAATGGTTGTATATGAAGAGCACTTCATTTGAAGAGGAATTTTGCTTTACCATAAAAGATGTATGCTGACACTGAGGAAATAAGTAAAAAAAAAGTATAGCATTTCAAAGATTTGAATTCAGATATCAATCAATAAGTAATTCATTATTTTATTAGGTATAGCTGCATTAAAGGGATGAAAAGTGACTGAAAAAAGGTCAGAAACTAACTTAAATTTATGATTTCTGTTAATAACTGAGGAGCAAAGTGAGTAAGTACCATATATAGAAATACATTTGAGAATTATTTGATTGTGGGTATCTGGTCTAATCATGATTATGTACGTTAATCACAATAATTGTGTAGTATAAATAGGAAACTGAAAGAAAAAAATAAAAATACTGGTGTAAAACATATAAAGACAGATATATATCTGTCTTATTTCTGTATATATTATATTATATTATATTATATTATATTATATTATATTATATTATATTATATTATATTATATTTTATTATATTATATTTTATTATATTATATTATATTATATATAATAATATATATTATTATATTTACAGCATTAAACAAAATCATACTGGCCAATTTAACTACAAAAAGTAAGTGAAATATAATAATGAAACAAACATATTTTTGAAATGAGTAAAAAAAAAAAGCTAATGCCACACATAACACGGTGCTTAATAGTTGTTTGATCACCCATACATTGTTTGATGTTTCATTACTACTTTACATTAAATAACAACCACAATTCAGAGTGTTCAGCCATACCTTTCCCATCCCAGAAGTTTCCTTGCCTTTCCCAGCGGTTTGAAAGATGCTGGCCGGTGCTGGAGGAGGAGATTTCTGCAGGACACCACTAAAGTTTGTCAGATGTGGAGAAGCGCCGCTTTCTGAGAACGACCTTCCTCTCCTGACCATCCCATTCAACTTTTGTGCAGCCCTGAGAACGTTCAATAATTTAGTTTAGCTTAAACCATGATCCTTCTAGTTGATTTTTAGTTAGATTTTTTTAGAAGCGCTTACTTGACAAAGAAGGACAAGGCGGCGGAGGTTCCAGCGGGGAGCAGAGAAGACATGCTGGATGAACGGGACGGCCGTGACGGGCTGTAGTTGCACAGAGCTGTAGAGGTCATGTTCTCCTTCTCACACACCTTTCCTGAATGCGAGGGACTCTGGGAAGACTGAGAGAGGTTTATCGTCATTGAGACTGTGGATTAGTAATTACAAAAAAATTAAATATGCTGAAACTTTATACATATTCAGGTTATCCACAAAAAAATACAAACCAGGCTCATTCTGAAAACATACCCCTATATACATTTCTGGAGAGCGCCAAATACATCCCAGCAGGTACATTTTTTGCAGTTTTTGTCCACCAGAGGCCGATATGTACGCTTATTGAGATCTCAAATTTCTCTCACAAGTGCCATTCGTGCCTGCTGTTCTCACATAAATCCTCCAGAGGCTGCTATCGACTGTTTGACTGACTGAATGACTGACTGATCGACTGACCCAGTCAATCGTGTTTTGAAAAGCACAGATTTACTCGTACCCCAACTTCCCTAAACCCAACCAACAAATGTAAAAAGGATTCCAGAAAAATAAGATTTTACCACATTTTCATCCTGTTATTTACTCATTTATTTTATTTTTAGGATTTTGTTTTAGTCTTACGTGTTTCTGGAACCGTTCTTCACCAGACTCAAACCCTGACGTCATGGTCATCTCCTCTCTGCGTCTCAAGTCCACCGACATACATGGTGAGCTAACTGGACGAGCTGGTAACAGTGGGAAAGCCATCCATATGGAGGTAGGTGGTCAGCTGGTAAGCGCGAAAAGGAACATCATCATACCGCCCTGTATTGTTCATTTTAAAAATGAAATGCAGCCATACATACTTCTGCCTACATAATTTGCAATCTCCAAAAACATATATAGGGCTACGCTTTCAGAAAGAGCCTGTGTTGCAAAAATAACATATTTAAAATGACCTGAAACAACACAATTTTAGAGTTGTTTGGGAAAATCATATGTTTTTATGCTTAATCCTCTCAACTTTGTAAAAATTAGCGAGTTAACTTAATTCCTTCATGTTGTCACAATACAAATCAATTGTGTGGAACCCAGCATTTTTTACAAAGCATGAACTAATTTTAAAAGCTTAGGGTGTACTCACACTATGTACAGTTGCCTTGAACTGGGCCAAAGCACGCTTGTACCCCCTCCCATCTCCCCCGACGGGCCCGAACTCACATTACATTCGGGCCTGGGCACACTTACGTCATCGATGCTGCGCTGTTCAGTAAGCGCTCTCATTCAGCACAGTGGAGATTTCTCTAGTCATATCATTTAAGTTGTTTGATACGCAGTGACACGCAGTCAAATATTTAGCAGAACAGATCGCCCACTTTTGACGCTCATAAACAATCATAAAGTCCTAGTTCTGCAGGAATTTGGAAGTTTGGTGAAGGTGCAGCTGTCGTGCAGTGAGGGGTTTGCGTCTTAGATAAAATACGACAGTTTGCGTTCACTGAACAGTAGGAATGATTAATTAATCCATGTGAAACAGTCCCTTAAAAGTCACGCTTCGCTTCCAGTTTAGGGGTTTGGCGCGTTTTGCACTCACACACAAGCGTACCGCCCTAAAGCTCAAGTGAACCCCGCTCAGGCACACCTCTTCCAACCGGGCCAGGGCCGGCCAAGTGAACCGTGTCGGAGTCCGATTCAGAGTACTCACACTTCTCAAACGATCTGGGAAACGGGCCTGGGCACCATTCGGATAGCATAGTGTGAGTAGGTACATACTTGCTCACATTACAGTATCAGTTAAAGGAATAGTTCACCGTTTACTTTCATTCAAGTATTTAATTTATAGTAAAATTATTGTTTCGATTGAAATTTTCACTACATATAAGAAGCAAATCTTCAACTTGGATAACATATTTGTACATTTTCTTTTCATTTTTTTGGCTGAATCACTCCATTAGCAGTACTCATTAGTGTTTTCTGTCCTAACTGAATGTCTTTCTGATGTAAACATGACGTCTGGGTGAACTCTACACCATGAACCTGACTATGTGTAATGCACTGCAGTCGGTCAGACACTATTATTAGGGAATGTCACTACAAGCTGAGTCAGATGTGCAGATGAAGTCATGAAGCTCTTTATAAGTGTCTCAGCAAACAGGCAGTGAGTGCCTAAGGGCCTGCAAGTCATACTTTAGTCCAAAGCCTAACCTCTTCAGACTGCTTTTTTCTGCCTCTGCTCGAGTAAACCATGGCTTGCCTGCAGTCATCCTCATATCCAGAGAGTCTGCCGTTATGTCTCATCAATGCTTTAGTCCAACCATGCGAAATAGGAGCCCCTTCTTTGCCCCCCTCTATTGGCAGACTGTAACGCCAATTAGCGCTGGGATCAACCCTCGGGCAAAGCCAGCAATATTGGCTCCACTGTTATTCTTTTCTCCATCTCTTCTTCCTTTCTTTCTCACTTGTCTGTCCTCCAGAAAGAATCGGAGATTTAATTATGTGCACATCTGATTTCCGCTGTTACGCTTTCGCTTTCTAAAAAAGCATGCCTATCAGTGGTCTGCTCACTATTTCAGGGAAATGTATCCCTTCTGCTTTTATTTATGATTATTTAAGTTTTACTACAAAGACTTAGTTTAGCCACTAATGAAAAATTCACTGTTAATTTACTCTCTCTCTCTCTCTCTCTCTCTCTCTCTCTCTCTCTCTCACTCTCTCTCTCTCTCTCAGGCCAAAATTTGCCTTTTTTTCCTCCAGCAAGGCATTAAGGGCTTAGTTCACCCAAAAATGAAAAGCCTGTTATTAATTATTCACCCGAATGTTGTTCTAATCCCGAGATCTTTATTCGTCTTTGGTATACAAATTAAGATATTTTAGATGAAACCTGAGAGCTCTTTCATCCTCCTAGACAGCAATGGTCCCGAAACGTTTAGAAAAGGAACCAAAAATATTCCATGTGACTTCAGGGGTTCAAATGTAATCATACACACTCAAAAATAAAGGTACTGTACAGGTGAACATCAGTACCTTAAGTGTACACATTTGTACGTTTAACCATGAGGTTCACATTTGTACTTTTTAAGTATTAATATGTACCTTTAAGGACCTGTCAGGAACAAAAATAATAATTAATAATAATTCCTTACATTTATAAAGAGCTTTTTCTGGACATCTTTACACATTTTTGGGGTATCTATCTATCTATCTATCTATCTATCTATCTATCTATCTATCTATCTATCTATCTATCTATCTATCTATCTATCTATCTATCTATCTATCTATCTATCTATCTCTATCTATCTATCTATCTATCTATCTATCTATCTATCTATCTATCTATCTATCTATCTATCTATCTATCCCTGTCCATCCATCCCTGTCCGTCTGTATCTATCCATCCGTCCCTGTCACTATCTATCTATCTATCTATCTATCTATCTATCTATCTATCTATCTATCTATCTATCTATCTATCTATCTATCTATCTATCTATCTATCTATCTATCTATCTATCTATCTACAGTATCTACAGTATCTACATCTATATATATATATATATATATATATATATATATATATATATATATATATATATATATATATATATATATATATATATATATATATATATATATATATATATATATATATATATATATATATATATATATATATATATATATATATATATATATATATATATATATATATATATATATATATATATATATATATATATATATATATATATATATATATATATATATATATATATATATATATTATTTTTGAGGAAAATGTCATTTGTTCTGTAAATTACTGATCACATTTCTTCCAAATTTCGAATTAAATAGTTGTTTAGAACTTTTTTTTTTTTTTTTCGTAAAATAACAAATAAAGTACCTGTCACCATCACCAGCGATCTAGCATTTGCAGATTGCTGGAGAACTACAAATCTGCCATGAACTACAGATCCGATCATGCACTTCATTCACACACCTGGCCCCGATTCCCCTTGATTGCAAACACACACAGCTGAAACTGTTCAGGACTAATCAGATGGACTAAAAGCACAATTATCAAACGTTTATATAATAAAAAAAGAAATAAGCATTTATACATACTGAACCAATAGCTAAACCTTCAAATAGTCTTTTAATTTAACAACATTACACACACACACACACACAACCACACACACACACACACTTTTAAAGCTATGTTTATGGGGACTTTCCATTGACGTAATGACTTTTATATTATATTCTATACTGTACAATCTGTATATTCTCTCCCCTACCCAAACCCAAAAATACAGCATTTAATGGGATTTAAAAGCCTTTTTTCTTAAGGGGTCCAAAAATTGTCCCCACAAAATCAAAATTTACTTGTTTTTCTTTGCTTGTAAGGACTTTTGGTAGATAAGATGGTTCACACTAAATAATTTATCAAATAAACACCAGAGAAAAAAAACATTTGGTGACATTTGTAAAAGATATTTGGTGAACATACACATGGAGATCTTATATAGTTGAAGGTTTTAATGTAAATGTAAAGAAAATCCACATTTATATGTAATACCCAGACATGTTTGTCTTTTCCCCAATTGCAGGTGAAAGTGATGCTGCGAGTCTGTTCAGCGCCTGTATCAGATCCATCCCAATCATACTCTTTCAAACTGGACCCCCAGAAGAGGCAGATGACGGTGCTAAATGTGCCTCAGAGACAGACTTCTGCTGCTTCACTTTCCTTCAAGACCTTCAGTTTTGATGCTGTGTTTGGCCAAGAGTCAGCTCAGGTCAGGCCCACTGCTGTGTTATTTCTGTCTGATGACTGAAAACTGATCATGTCTGGAGCCCATCTGAGTCATAAGAGCATGCAGGGATCTGGTCACTTGAGTGCGGATATTCAATATCTGGATATTCTCATCCAGTACAATCAATAAAATTCATTTCACTCAGTATTAGATGCACATTTGGCTAAATAATTCCACATTGCAGGATAGTTTTTGTGAGTATTCAGAATATAAGATGTGAATGGTGTGAAATTATGAAACATAAAGCATAAAGCATCATATTTATTTATTTGTTTTTTTTTCAGGCTGAGGTTTGTGAGAACAGCTTGTGTGAGGTGCTTCAGTGTGTGCTGGCAGGAGCGGATGGTTGCATACTTAGCTTTGGACAAAACAATGTGGGTAAGTGAGTGATATTAAAACCTGTTTAAACCTATAAAACTGACAGGATTTCAAAAATTAAAAAAATAACTAAATATATTTATTTTTACAAAACCAAAGAAATTCTTTAAATTTGGGCTATATTTTTTGCATTTCTGACTTTTTCCGCAATGTTAACTTGTAAATTAGTTTGCAGATCTCAGAGGAAAAATCTCAATTGTGAGACATAAACTCACATAAGGAAAAAGTAAGAATTATGAGATTAAAAAAAGTCATAATTAGCTTTATTTAATCATTTCATATGTGTTTTTCATTTTGTGATAAAAAAACTACTTTTAAATGCTAATTAATATCTTCCCATTGTATTTTTATTAGTGCTGAGCAAAGATTAATTGCAATTAATCACATCCAAAATAAAAATTGACATAATATCTGTGTGTTTGAATTATAAATATTTATTATATTTATTGTATTTAGTAACATAGATATTTTAATTTATATATAATTTGTATCATACACATATACAGTATATATTTTATATAAAA